CTCACCCTGCGGTTAAATTTCCCAAGTTTGGGGTGGAACTGGCGCGCAACGTGCGCTTCTTGACTTTTTTTGTTGGTTGTGTGCGGGACATTTTAGGACGTGAGGGTGTGAGTGGACGTGTGTGGGTGTGTGCAGCCGCGGCAGGGGTGTGTGGTCACGTGCGGGCGTGTGTGGTCGCATGTGGGTGTGTATGCGGTCGCGCGCAGGCGTGTGTGTAGTCGCGCGCGGATGCGTGTGTGGTCGCGCGCGGGTGCGTGTGTGGTCACGCGCGGGTGCGTGTGTGGTCGCGCGTGGGTGCATGTGTAGTCACACGCGGGTGCGTGTGTAGTCGCGCGCGGGCGTGTGTGTAGTCGCGTGCGGGCGTGTCTGCAGTCGCACGTGGGCATGTGTGGCCGTTCGCGGGTGCGTGTGATCACGCACGTGTGTGTGTGTGTGTGTTTATGCCTGCATGAGGATCTGTTTGTTTGTGTGCGTGTGTTTGTGCGTACGTGCAAGTGTAAAGGTGTATTCGTGCGTGAAAGTGTAAGTGTGCGGATGTGTGTGTATGTGTGTGAGATAGCGTACGTGTAATATATGGGTGTGTGTGTTTGCGCGAGGGTGTGTATGCGTACGCTAATGCGGTATTATTGGCGTTTGATATCCCGTCGCTGGGGAGAAGAATACACGCGGCCCCTCAGAGGAATTGATGTGATTTTTGCTTGGTCAGTGGATGATGACCTGTACTGCTGTATCTGTTAGTGTCGTTGTACTAAGGCGCTTCTATTGCAGAAAATCATGAAGCTGAAACAGGAGTTACAGCTAAAGCCGCCGGTTCTTATGGACAGTGCTGGTCAAAGCGATGCAGTGGTGACGCTGAACGAGTTGCCCGGGATGTTCAAATTGCTGGAGGAAAACAAACCATAGTATGTTCTGAAATTTCAATCCATTTTCATACTTCCGCTGTGCACCAAAAACGTCGGGAATGTTAGTTTTAGACCAAAAACATGTGTCCGCAACGTACCAGAAATCTTGGAGATTGGAAACGCGAGCGGTTTTTGCCGGTGGAGAGACCTTTACGGGATTTTCATACTCAGCACGAAAATTAGTGCTGAAGGAAATTAGCAGTATGAGCGCGAAAACCATAACCTTACCTAAACAAAAAATTCAGTAGTGCCTTCGCAATTCAAATTTGAGCCCAAAAATGAATGCGGCCAGTAGCCCACCCCAGCACTAACTTTCTTCAAGAACAGAAAAACATCATAGGAGTATCATCCCCCCAGAAACCTCATCCCTACTTCCAGTTCCTACTTTTTTCCAACCAGTGCCTCAGCCCCTTTTCGTCAGTTACCCCCTCCTCTTCCTCCGTCACCCGTCATCACATCCGAAACCAAGACCAAATCGTCACTTCGGCCCTCACCCCGTCATTCTTTCCTCCTCCCTCCTTCACTCCTCCGTTCCTCTATATCGCCATCCCCGGTTGCTGCAACTTGCCTCCGAATCAGCTGAGCCGAGCTTCAATAGTTGCCAGGAATGAGCAAAAGAAAGCGCAAGCTGATTCGGCGAGACCACCGTGGCCAACAGGCGATGCGCCAAACCGAAACCGAGTTGGTGCACGATCACACACGCTGAGAGCAGTGGTGTCCACAAAGACGACAGCACCGTGCTCACAGAAACTACTAGTAGGTCTAGTAATTCCAGCAACAAGCTGAAGGCCGTCGCCGTGCAAGTCCACGCAGTATCGTTATGAATTGCAACGGGAATGCGTTTTCTGTTGAATTATTCCCAAAACAACGGCTTGAGTTTACAAGACCAAGCAGCGAAACACCCTCAGCTCAGGCGAACTTGGAAATCTCCGGATCATCTGGAACAGGATGGAAAACTGTGAGATGAAACAAAGCACGAGTTAGTGGTGGGAGGTCACCAGGGAATGTGCAGTAAATGTCAGCATAATCAATGATAACACAGGGATGGGCTATCGGGGGAAGTGAGGGGAGAAACGGAGGGCAGTGCAGCGGCGCATCCCGCACCTAAACTCCACGTCCCTCCCTTGCCGCAGATTACCCGAACATAGAAATGAAATTATTTGAACAGGTTCGGGTTTTTTACTTTAGCGTCGAGTCTCGACTTCCCAAATTCGAAGTGGTTTCCCTCAGTTATGCGTTTTTTGCAGCAATGCAATGCGAAAAACGCATATTGACGAGAGGTTGTCTGTGTGTG